TCACTCAACACGTCCATGTGTCCGGCAATCTCCTACATCACTCAACCTGTGAGGTTTGCGTAAGCAATCAAACACCGAGGGGGGGGGTTGTTTTACACCGTCGTTGCCAAGCGACGAAAACCCCACCCCGATGGCAAACACCGCGGGGGTTGGCTTGTTTTACAACGTCGTTGCCAAGCGACGAAAACCCAACCCCGATGGTAAACACCGAGGGGGGAAGGGGGGAGGGGGGCAACCGATTTTCGATATTCGGCCGGTTGAAATCGGAACTCTGCGTATCTAGTAGCCGATTAGAAATCGGCCGTAGCCAATTGAAAATCTGCTACATTCAGGCAATCATCCTAATTTGGCTGAGCCCTGGCCGAAATCGGCCGCTGTGTTTGAAAAATCGGCCGTTTTTTTCTTGGCCGTTTTCCGGCCGAATTTTTCAGAAATCGGCTCTTTCGGCCGCGGCCGATGGAGTAAAGGCCTAGTGTCGCCCTAGCAGCCGGCAGACAGGCCACCGACCACCCGCAGTTTTCGGAAGAAAGGTACCAAATACAGTACACATATTTTCTGCGTGGCCCCCTTGGTGCCGAGGCCTTATAGGTGCCAGCTTTCCTCGCCGCACCGGGTGGGTATCTACATACCCTTGGGTCGCCATGTTGTGGAACATTCATATGAACGAGAGTGTACATGCGTGTTGTCTTGCGAGGTTGTAAAGCACGCACGTTCTTTGCATGTTGCACGGATCTCTCTGCCTCCTTTCATGTGCCGGAGACGGTCAATGTACCATTACGCGGGCAGGGTTATCGCCTCAAAGACAACGAACGCCACATTCCGCATGTTTGGGGTGTCGGCGCGTGTACTATGTTATCACGCTCGCGGGCTCTTGTCGAGAGCGTGTTGCACAAAGGAGTGACTCAAGTTCCTTGATTAACTATTAACGAGGTATTAACGAGTGACAAGCATGAGCAGCAGGCAAGAAGGACCTGCTGCTGCACACACGTCTGCATATACCCAAACCTATCATATATGCGTACCCCCTCGGATATCTCGGAGATCTGTATCCTGCCGAGTACATACACAAACACCGCATCGTAAGATCGCCGGTTTGAATGACCCCCCCGCAATCATTCCGATCATGCGTAATGTTTGAACTTGCGCGAGCCTGCATGCGACGATAAATCGTTTCGAGGATGAACAGGTAATGCGGAGGGTTTGACCGCACTTTCGAGCTTCCTCGAGACTCTCGTGGAAGCACCCCCAACCATTGTTTGGTAACCTGCGGCCCGCCCTCCAAATGAAAATATGCCATCCTTTCGAGTTTTTAGGGTTCATACCGCGCTCGTAAAGTATCACTGCGTACAGATTACTGCGTACAGATTGGGAGTGTAGGAACCGACCAATGATTTCGGCGGATTCTTGTCATCGTCTGATCATACTCGGAGTGCAGTTTCCGCGACATATTTCTGGGTATTGCTGTACACTCACGTGCTGGGAAAGACCCCTTCGGGGGAGCATCTGTATGCTATGTGCTTCAATAGTCGGCTCGGAACCGCACAAGACTATTGCCCTTGGGACATGTTCCGCGAAAGTGCACTAGACAAATGAACTCCCGCTCAAAACAGCGGCGGAACAGACCCATGAACAACGAACAACAACGACAAAAAAAATAATGGTCGTGTGAGGGTTGGACCTTGACACGCGTTTCTTTGGGGCGATGCGACCCGTTTGACAGGCCATCTTCACAACCCCCCCCCCCCCGCCCCCGAATCAGAAGCCTCCTTCTTCATTGCCAGACAAAGAGGTGAAAGCTTCTTTCTACAAATACCCGGCACCCAACCGTCTGGCGGCGAGTCGATGCACTCTCCGTGGTCCGTGCTTGTTTTCACATGAAACGCCACGTCCGCCGCGTCGTCAGCAATATTCATGAACTACCCCGAAACGAACCATGGTCGGAATTCGCTCTCTAAGCGCCGCATATCACCAACGTTGCGAGGGGTTGTCGCCGTAGCTCACGCACAAGACTGAATCAAGGTGCATGGACACCTCTCGTGTCATGCGAACAAGAAGAAGCATTCCCCCCTCCCCCACATCAAAAGCAAGGAAATGTCCAGCTTCCGGTTCATCCTTGGGAAACGTAGCCCGAGAAAACCCGGCATATCGCTCCATCCCGGCACTGTAGTGGTGCGAGGTCGACGGCCCAACGACTACCGCATTAGTTTACACGNCGAGAGCAGAGAGGTAGGGGGGTACCACGGTAGAGAAGTCGAGGCAAAGGGCGCGCCGAATACACGACTCCTCCCGCACCTCAAGGCGCCTTGCCCGCTCATTGCAACAACTGTTGACCCGCGGGCAGGACCTGGCACGCCCTTTGCCTCGACTTCTCTACCGTGGTACCCCCCTACCTCTCTGCTCTCGACAGTTCCTCCGCATCCCAACTCCAACTAAAGTTTCTTGAGCCCTGGACTCCTAGGAATTCTCGGGGAGGGGTGGGTGGAGGAGGATGCCAGTTGTTCTTAGCACCTTCCAACCAAGAAATCCCAATCAAGAACTCTTCTCCAGTGGGCGAGTTTCGCGCACGAGGTAGGCGAAGGCCTCTGCGTTGTCCTTGAGTAGCGGTCCCAGGGTTGCGAGCACCGTGGCGTGGTAGTCGTCCAGCCACTCGCGCTCTTGTGTTGTCAGCAGGCTCACGTCGATTAACTGGTAGATGGGTGTAGGCAAGGACCAAGTCAGGATGCTTTTTACAGAACGGCACGGGGCTCGCAATTATCAGTTGACCACAGTCAAGTTTCATGATCAACCAAACATGAAGGTAGAACTGAAACAGAAGGCATGATGCACAAGGTAGAGAATCATGTTTCTTCGATGACGCATGCGTCAAGAGAACCAACTATGTGGTTCGTGAGGGCAAACATGCAGAACATGATGTCAATCGCCCCATGTTGCGACTGGTGGGAGCTGTTCTGGATCTTCATGATCATTTCTTGGGTACCTTTTATTGGCATATCTAGCGACGACGGGTGATCATTCTTCGCGCTTTGCGGGCAAGGGAGCGGGAACTACAGGATGGAGGTCAGAACCATTTTCGATGCGAAATGAACAAAACAAACGCTAGGCAGGAAATCCAAGTAAACGGAATTCTTGACCGACCTTCGAATCCCATCAACACCCCCCCGGGCACTGTTGCTTGTGCCGAGAAAGAACACAATCGAAGGAAAAGAAACCAAGGATAAGGAGGGTCTAGAAATGTATGGAATGTTGAAGGAAGGAATAGGGTTCAAGGGTTAGGATTACCTACATGGACCAATGGATGCAGGAACAAAGCTTAAGTCAAACTCAGGACCGGGGACATAGGCCTTCGAGAACGTCGGCGAGGACATAGGACGGTAGACGAAGACGACGAGTTCAAATGTGATCGCGGCTTCGAATGCGAAGACCGTGTTCATGTAGCTGCGGAATGTCCGTGGTGCAAGAAGGAGAGGGAAGTGTACGTGACTGAGCTGGGAAAAATAGATGGAACGTA